AATTTAGTTTCACTTCTGCGTTTGTATGCAACCCTGTAAAAGAGAACAATCATTATTATTTATAGAGTTAGTAATCAGAGTTTGATTAAAACTCGAATTGCTGATCCTTCATCAAATTCGAGTCCTAGAACAATTCAAACTCCAATCCTTATTCTTTATCCGAATGTAGTTCTCTTCACATAAGGAGACTTCAACTCCTTATCCTATGCAAGTTTTCGATATCCTCAGAAGATATTGTTACTGACCCTTGAGACTTATCTTCACACATAATTATCACATGTATAAGTATATCAACACTGTGTCTGTCTCACATGATGGACTTGGTTCATGACTGAGTTCATTTTGTCAATCTTCAAAACTTCATCTGAACTTGGGCCAACATACACTGATATAATTGCTACTCGCCCTTCTTATTGAGATGCGCACTGGTGACGGTTGCTTGTATCCTAGACCTTCACGTGGTTGCCTCGTTGCAGCTTCTGATGGGAGCTTCCCTAACTTTAACGGCTCATTGGGATTGTATCCAGCTTTTGCGAATAGCTTGTAAGCGTTAGGATCAAAACCTTCATCTGTTCACTTTGTAGGTAGTGCCAGATTCTGCAAACGATTTTGGGCTACAAACCCTTCAAGCGGCTTTGAGGACAACTTTACCGCCTCAATTCGTTTTACCGGAAGAGTTAACTCCCTTAGCGTCTTGGTTTGGAGATTATATGATTCGCCCTCGTCTTTCTTCCTTTTAGGGACATATTGGAGCGCGGGACTTACTTTCTTTCCATAAGATGCAATACCCCCTTTATGAGATTTATTCACGTTGGCGGGTACCTCCTCAGTAACAGCTTTGGCTTTACCAATAGTCACCTCAGCTCTTTTAGTTATGGGTTCGTCATTCTTGTTTTTCATGCCATCATCAACTTTTATCTCCTTCACAATGCGGTTCTTCAAGTAGAACTTTGCATCGGCGAAGTGTGACTCTGCCTCGGTGAATGGCTCATCATCAGCAACTATCTTATTCTCCACTTCACCCTCGTAGTATTTTAAACATTGATGGTAGGTAGATGGAACCACTTTATTCTCATGTATCCAAGGCCTTCCAAGAAAGACATTGTATGAAGTTTTCGCATCGATCACATGTAGCCATGCACTTGATTGCATATCTTCAATGGTGATTTCCAGCCTGATCGCGCCTATGGCTCTTTGCCCCCCTTGGTTGAATACTTGGATCATCACACGTCTTTCTGAGAGTTCGTTCATGGGAATACCAAGTTCTTTCACAGTACAAATTGGCAAAATGTTCACTGAAGATTCTCCATCAACCAAAATTCGATTTACCCTTTCATCACGCATATAGCCAACCAGATACAATGGGCGGTTATGAAGAGTGTCACCTAGCAGAAGATCGTCATTTGTGAACGTGACTTTTTCCTTACAAGCATTAACTTCTTGAGGAGTGGACTCAGTGAGATTTTCCGAAGATGGTTCCAACGGTAGGTCATCACTCTTTTCTTCCCCTTTGTCAGCATGGCAACAAGAGGCATCGATACCCTCATGGGAAATCTTCGTGCGGAACCAACTTGGTAAAAACTCCTCCAAGGTCACTAGATTTCGTGGCTTTTGAGAATGGTGCATCTCCACTTTTGCTTTCTTCAAATGCCTAACTGGATTCTTTTTCGTTGGTCTTTTTACCATCATCTTCCTTGTTGGTTGTTCTATTGATTCTTTTCGTGGGCTTCTTTTGTGGCGCCTACGACGAGTCACCAACGTCCAACCTTCATCATCACCAGGTTGATCTTCTTCAACTTTTTTGTTCACCAGTAATTCTTCATTTTTGATTCCTTTTTAATTGCATAACTCATCTAGAATGAATGAGCCAAAGGTGATAGAGACTTGGTTCGCGCTTGCTTTCTCATCTTCAAGCACGATCTTCTTTTCACGGGCCAAGTCCATAACTTTGTCCTTGAAGACAAAGCACTTCTCCAGAGGGTGGCTTACAAGTCGGTGATATTTGCAGTAATTTGGGTCATTCGTTTTCCCAGCTTCATTTGGTCGCTTCATCTCCGAAAGCTCAATGAGATTTAACTCGAGGAGTTCTTCGAAAATGGCTGGCACATCAGAATCTAGGAATGGGTACTCTTTCTCCTACATTTCTTTTAGAGTGAACTGTCCACTTGGCTTATCTTGAAAAGAAGTGGATTTCATACTCTGCTTCTTGCTCACCTTTGTCGTGAACTTCATAGGTGACGTGTTGACATTCATAGCTTCTTTGCTTTCAGACTTGGGTATGAACTTGCCCCACTTCCTGACTTCTTGCTTGTCATTCCCTTTGCGAGGTTCATAGATGGGCAGCCTTTCATTTCCAGTGAAGGCCATGCTCAATTCCATGTCATGGGCACGAGTTGCAAGTTCTTCGAATGTGCCAGGCTTGATACTTTGCAAGATGTAGCGCAAACCCCAATGCATGCCTTGGATGCACATTTTTATGCCTGAAGCTTCACTAAGCCTGTCTTTGCAGTTGAGGCTTGAATTCCTCCACCGATTGATAAAGTCGATAACTGGTTCCCCCTTTCGTTGACGAGTATTTGTAAGTTCTATCATACTTACAGTACATCTTGTACTATAAAAGCGATTGAGGAACTCTTGCTCTAGTTGATCCCAGCTATCGATAGATCTAGCCTCGAGGTCCGTGTACCAGTCAAAAGCATTTCCTTTTAGCGAGCGGACAAACTGCTTGATAAGGTAATCTCCATAAGTCCCAGCATTGTTGCACGTCTCTACGAAGTGCGCAACATGTTGCTTTGGGTTACCTTTACCATCAAACTGTTGAAACTTCGGAGGTTGATAGCCAGCAGGCATCTTCAACATATCGACCCTTGCAGTGTACGGCTTTGCATATGTAAGGGAGGATTTGGCAGCAACTTCATATTTGTTCTTAATGGTTCCTTCAATGAACTCCTTCGATTGATCGATTGGAATCATCCCTTCAGATGAGACAGGGATAGACTTAGTGGATGCTGCTTGTCTTGGAGGAGAGTCACTCTCTAGAACCTCTGGGAGCTTGCCGGGTGCATGGGTGGATTCTTCTTCCATCAAGATTCCCACCCTGTCTGTTAGCTTGTCAATTCTAGCCTCTTGATTTTGCATGCATTTGGTCAAGCCAGCGATTGCTTCCGTCAAGTTTGCTAACTGCTCATCCATAGATGAAGTGTTTGTCACCATGGCTTGCATGATTGTCGTGGATGACGGAGAGTAGCATGGATTTTTACACAGATTGATCCTTGATTGGCTCACTCTATGTGGTGTAAGTGGGGAGGACCCATCACTTGAAGCATCATCATCTTCCTTCACAGCAGAGTGCTTGGAGCCGGAGAGGTCAAGCAGAGCAAGAGTTTTCTTGATCTTTTCAGCAACATCACTTCCTCCTTTAGATGCGTTTGTGGAAGATCTTGCTCCTTTTGAGGATGAAGATCCGAAAACAGGGGTTGATGCGGACAGCACTTGAGGTGCTTGTTGTCCTAAAGAGCTTGCTTTGCTCCTCGTAACTGGTCCGAAGCTTCCAAAGGTGACATCGAGGATGCTTTCCACATCAGCATAGAACCTGGAGTTAGCAGCCTTGGTGGAAGTTGAACTGGAGTTGATTTTCTTTGAAGCCATTTCAATGTTCTTGGTATTTGGTGAATGAAAAGTTGAGATGAGAGGTAGAGATTGTCCCACCGGGCGTGCCAGCATTTGTAGACAATTTTGCGTCGAGAAAATAAAATCAAGACCGAAAATATCGCAACAATCATAGTATTTTATTTTAAATATTTGAGTGTACAACCTCTATGAATCCTCTGATTCTTCTTTTCAATAGTAAATAAATTCAGGGGCTTTTGAGCTTGATCTTGAATCTATATTTGTTTTCCACGAACGATGATCTTGTTCTTGAGCTTGAGTTTGAGCCTGATTGCTTGAACTTGAACTTGAACTTGATTCGTTCTTCGTTCTTGAGCTTGAACTTGTTTTCTTGAACTTGAACTTGATTGCTTGAAGCCTGAAACTTGTAGAGATTTGCGGCGTTTGATCCACGAGCTCTCTCTTGCTTCTTGTTATAACTTATGGTGTCTTTCTGAGTTATGAAGACCCCTATTTATAGTTGTGGAAAGGAAGAGTTGTGATAAGAACAAACTCCTTCCGACCAATCAAATTGAAGTGTGACATGGCCGCATTTGATTGGCCAGAACATGTCACTTGCACACGTGGCGCGATTTCATTGGCCTTTCAGTGCGACTGGGCATGCCTTGTCATTTTGACACGTGGCATGATCCTATTGGCTCTTCCGTTTGACTTGGCGTGCCACGTCATTTCACGCGTGGCACCAAACTGAGCCTCTAGGAAGATTTGGGCCTAATGAAGTGGTCTCATCATTTGTAGCCCAACTAAATGGACTAGCCCAATGGATTAAGACTTATTTAATTAATCCATATATGTTGGAATTATATAATTAATCCAATTATATTAGCCCAATAAATTTATTTGAACTAATATATCTTGAATTTAAAATATAATTCAAATTATTTTTCGGATTCAATTTCAATAAAATTTATATGCCTACAATATTTTCCACATGTAAAATTTATTCGGTACGGTTCGATATTTTTTGGTTTATTTTTATAAAATAAAAACGTACTTTAATTATCGATACGGTTATAGATTTATACAAAAACCTACTGACATTTAAAAAAAAAAATTAATTTGGTACAGTACGATTCGATCGAATTTGTCGGTTTTTAAATATCTAATGAAACCAATACATGTGAGCTCGTTGTATTTTACAATTTCGTTTTGTTCTATTTCTCCATCGAAGCAAAAGAAAAGACAAAAAGCACAAGCAAAAGTCAATAGAAAAAATTGAAAAGAGAAAAAGAGAAATAAAAGAGCACCTGCACACGTGTGTTGTAAGTGGTGACCCACCAAATATCCAAAAATCTCGACAGAATTTCCCACATTATTTCCAGAATCTTCCTTAAACCCCCAAAAAATTGGCTTAATCTCCACAGAATATTGCATTCCAATATTCATAGTAATGTCTCTCTTCTGCGGCCAAAGAGAAAGCAGCAGCAACACTCCAATTCTCTTTTAAAAAATGTAAAAGAAACATTGACAACATCATCACTGTTAATCTCTCAAGTGATCGAGTAAAATTTGGGTATTCGAGGTAATTTCATGCCTTCAAATCATAGATAATTGTGTAGCATTTATGATTTAGGGTTTCAATTTGAGGATTTTGAAAATTGCAGCATTTGCTTTTATTTTTTTTCGTGAGCCGAGGATGTATTGGAAATAGCGTAGGTGTAATATCTTACTTACACACTATGGGATTACACTGGGTTTGATGTTGTTGTAGCAGCATTTGCTTTTGATTATTTTACACTTTCCTTTGGGTTGGTAGCTGTTATTCTACCATTGAGAGTTATAAGAATAGTATGTTAGCAATCTGGTTAAAGATTTTTTATTTGAATGCTTTATAATGTGGCAAAACATAAATTTTATGGAACTAGTAAGTGTAATATCGTATTGCATTGGTTCTAACTGTTTCGGCTTTGATTATAATGTCATTTTAATACATAGTGTTTTGTTTTATTTAGAAGCCATGGAAAATATACTTGTTTTCCTTCAGCACGATGGAGTATGGGAAAGTGACCACAGTTTTGTGAATTTTGCTGTTAATGGGATTTTGATCACTTCTGAGTGCAAATTTGAAGAATTAGTTTCAATAATAGCAACGCATTTAGAGAAGGATATGGATACCAACTCGATAGATATTAAGTACATAGTGAAGGATGGGTATCCGCCAATGACAGTACACAATGATATGAGTGTTCGGTTGTATATTGAGCTGAAAAGGAAGAATTCAGAATTCACAGAGTACCCGCTTTGCATAACTTTCAAGGATAAGCGTACTACTGGAAGTTGCTCAAATGCTAATCGTGTTACAGTTTCATCGGATGGTATACAGAGTGAAAATATGCCTAAACTGTACCAGCCTGATACCATTGAGCTAATAAGTTTTGTACATGGGGAGGATCGTAATGGTGTACGAGCTGATGACAAAGGTATGATAAACAACCCAGAGATCATTAAGCCGATAAGTTCTGTTCATGGGGAGGATTGTAATGTACCTGATGACAAAGGTATAAAAAACGATCCAGATACCATTGAGCCGATAAGTTCTGTTCCTGCGGATGATTGTAATAGTATACATGATGATGTTAGAGGTATAATAGACAACCCACGACATCAAGATGTTGAACAAGGTCAATTGTACCAAGACAAAGAGACCCTTGTCAATGTTATGAAGCATTATGCCATCCAAAAAAAGTTTCAGTTTAGAGTTGAAAGGTCGAGTAGTAGCAGGTATTGCATGGTATTTTACTGGTATAATAGTATATTTTTCATCTCCAGTAATTTTTATGAATACAAGCCAAATATTGATAGTGTATGTATATGTTACCAACAGCTATTGTCTTGTATGCTTGGACGACAATTGTTCCTGGACTTTAAGATCTTCAAGCCTGAACAACTCAAAGCTTTTCAAAGTAAGAAAGTTCAATGATGTTCACACGTGCTCGATAGAGGAAATATTGAGTAAACAGCGTCACGCGACTTCTGAGATCGTTGGAGGTATGATCAGAAACAAGTATGCTAATGCAGAATCTGAATACACTCCAGCGGACATAATGCGTGACATCAAAAAAGATTATGGTGTGGACTTGACCTATATGAAGGCTTGGAGAGCGAAGCAAAAGGCGCTTGAAATATTGAGAGGGAATCCAAGCAAATCATATGGGAAGCTACCGAGCTACCTGTACATGTTGATGCATACAAACCCTGGATCTGTCGTGAAACTGCATAAATCAGAAGGTGGCTCCTTCTTGTACGCTTTTGTATCCTTGGATGCATCAATTAAGGGATGGGAATATTGCAAGCCTATTGTGGTAATTAATGGGAGCTTTCTATCAGCGGGCAGGGGGACCTTAATCACGGCTTACACACAGGATGCAGCTGGTGGGTTAAGTTGAAATAAAAAATGAATATTTACAAATCAGTATGTATAAAGTTTATATGCATATAGGTTACAATATACTACAGTATATATGTCGTATATTTTTTACTATATGACTTATTTAACATCATATTTGCAATATTACACCGGTTGTGTATAAGTTGTGACATTGTTGATCTAAGTATATGTTGACATAAGTTTTTTGATTGATTTTAACAGGTAAAATTTTTTTGCTCGCATATTCCGTGGTTGATTCAGAAAATGATGCATCTTGGGAGTGGTTCTTTGAAAGGTTCAGGGATACTTATGGTGCTAGGGAAGGGATGTGCATTGTATCCGACATGCATGAAAGCATCTTAAAGGCGAGTTCGGTTGTGTATCCAGGAGTGCTTCACTGTGTATGTATGTTCCATTTGTGGAACAACATAAAGATGAGTTACACGAAGAATCATATACCTATCAAGGAACTATTCTTCGCGTCGGCCAAAGCATACACGGTAGAAGAATTTGACCGCCATATGGCTGAGATAAATAACATCGATAAGAGGGTCGGAGAACACTTGTTAAATGTTGGATATCATAGATGGTCAAGAGCGCATTCCAAAGTCAAGGGAACCACGATCATGTCTTTAAACATTGCGGAGTCTATGAATGCAGCGAACAACTATGCAAGAGATTTACCAATACTGCATTTGCTTGAATACATGATGAAGTTGGTTCAGGATTGGCATCACGCGAACAAGAAAAATGCAATAGAGACATCCACAAAGCTGGCAAAAAAATATGAAGATATCATGAGGGAAAATCACATTACATCTCAGACAATGACGGTAAGATTCCATTACCATGTTTCTTTCATACAAAAAAATGAAATCGGAACACATGCAGTATATAAACCGTCTATATGTAGTACATAAATGGTATATATGCAATATATAGTCTATATGTATATATAAGAAAATGAAAATGGACCGCAGATGTTAGAATATATCACTGATCATCTTTTTTCAAGGTGTAGGTGAAGCCTTCCACCGATTACTTATGTACTGTCATTGAAGATGAAAAACAATTTGTGGTGAACCTGGGAGAGAGAACATGCACTTGCATAAGGTTTCAAATAGATGAAATGCCGTGTCCGCATGCTTTGGCAGTTGTCACGTACAAAAGCTTGGATGCATATGAATACTGCTCTATCTACTACAGCGCGGATTACTTGCTGAAAACGTATGAAATACCAGTGTATCCTGTTTCCGATGAAAGCACTTGGGACATTCCTAGAGAGATCTTAGAAGACGTGGTGCTACCGCCGACAGGTAGAATTAAACCGGGAAGGCCAAAAAAGTTGAGAATCCAGTTGCCGGAATCACAAGCTAAGAGGTGCAAAACGTCATGCGGACAATGTGGACAAGAGGGTCACAACCGAAAGACATGCGAAAGTCTACGGGAGAAAACTTGACATGTTTGTTGGTTTGCAATTTTTTCTATTTAAGTCGTTCATTGTATTTGGATTCATGGATTACAAAGTTTGATATGAGTTAATAAAATAGTTATTGTCAGGTTTTTCTTCTAACACTATGTATTTCTTTTATATTAGTATATACTTTTCCAGTATATTCGTTGATTAAATATAAGAGGCGGATCTACGATTTCTAGAACATCGGTGCACCACTAAAGAAAGAAGAAGAAAAAGGTATTAAGTGGGAACCGATATTGTGCCTTTGGTCAAATAACTCAGTATTCAACTAAGTGCATCATTCAGTCTTTGTGGAGTATGGGTATCAAAAAAAGATACTAGACCAATTCTAGAAAATATATACATAAAATACCTAGTTTGATGAAGAGACCATGGACCCTATACAATACCCTATAAATGATATGTGCCCCATACAAGACCCTATAAATCTGCCCCTGGACCTCATCCTACCTTGTGCAAGTAAAGAGTATAATTTCGATAGACCCTCGATTCAAGAAGATCAAAAACATAGCAGTATAGAAAAGATACGGTAGCGAAGAAGACATGAGCAAAAGAAGCGTTAACAACAGCTCGCTAATAACAAAACCGAAGTGGAATACAAAGTGGATTATATTTCACTTGTGGTATATCAAAGTAAAGATTAAGTTGCTTTTTAAGTAGATTGAACTCACAGAATTTAAAGTTTCTTCTCTAATGTAGAGTATAGTTGGAGGCAGCAATAGTCTCCTTGAGTACCAGCTAACCTTCAGAACAGAGGAAGTCTAAGTTAACTGTGGTATTGTGATATTTCTTATGTTTTTAAATTAGTTGAACTTATCCAGAGAGATTATTGAGGTTGAATATTTGTAATGTGTTTGCATATCAAAATGCATTTTGTCAGTAACTCAAAAGAAAAAAGAAATGCTTTCTGTCCCTAAAATGGATAAGAGAAGCTTTTGCTATAGTTAATCTACCTATAATATTATACCGGAACTTGTGAAAATCACCTTAGCATTTGGAGATAAATTCTTTCTCCCTTAAAAACAAGATAGGTAAATGTTCCACCACTTCAGGAATATAAAGTTGGTATGCTTAGGTTTGGCCAATTCAACCCGAACAATAATAAATTCATAGTGCCAAAGCAAGATCATCAGGAGTATATTTTAAGAAGAAAAAAGGTGCATTATACATCAAATTCACTGCGCAATGATTAGGATCCATGTCAGCTCGTACATATTACAAGTATGTCATCTCTCATTCGGATACTTTTGTTGAAAGTCCGAGCTCCACTTCTACCAGACCTTAAAAGCAAAACTTCTTTTTCTGCATAACAAGACAGCAGAGATACAAATCAATATTGAATCTTAAAATTCTAACACAAACACACATGAATGCATAAACATATACCACAGAAAGAGGTGCACAAGCAATACTGCTCGAAACCTTGTCTATTCTTAACTTATTAGTTTATATGCACCAACGCATTTTCTCAGAAGTTTCCAACACTATATCGACTTCCAATCCTACTTAGGTTCACTCATTACTTGCTGTTGTCGGACTACCAAAAAAAGCTGGAAACTCACCTGAAACTTTGCAGCTTTCGCAGCTTCTTGACCATCAATGTACGCAAGAAGTTCCTCTTGTCTCATCAAAGCCTCATGCAAAGCCTGTTTCGAAAATAAAGGAATATTACTCAATAACCATGAAAAAGAGGTATGTGACATTTAGATGCTATTATTGTCAGCAACCCAACATTATATGTATTGAATGCTTGCTGAGGTATGTGGTATGTAGATGCTGTTATTCTCAGCAGTATTATGCAATGAAATGCTTGCTGAAACAAGTCATAAGTTTACGACTTATCATCATAATCATGGAATATTACTTCAAGTTGCAAGCACACTAGCTGTCACACTAATCATTGAATTCCAACATATTCTCTAGTCTCTCTATCTGCTAATGTTCTGGCCCCGGCAAACACTTCAAAAGCATAAAGGGTCTCACATGACCAAGCCATAACATACTTGTAATACTTTGGACCTATATTTCATTAATTAAGCCTAATCTCACAAGTTGAAAATGATAAGCAACCAACATTTCCAGCTGAGCAAGTAAACGTAAAACATGCAAGTTCTGGTGAAGCAAAACCACTGGTTTCGCACCGTTATTCACATACTGCATCATAAATTTTTTACCTTCTTGGTTGCAATTAACTCAGCTTCTAGGGCATCAACACGGCAAACAGCAGCATTTAGCAATTCCTCTTTCTCATAAGGCATCTCAGATGGCTTTTCTTGAAGTGTATTTACTTTGTCCTCAAGTTCACCCAATTTCTTCAGAACAACAGAAAGCAGCTGAGCTTCTGTAAAGGCTGGAATTGGTGAAGGTGGCCGAAAATCCTCTTTACTGATTGCATCAGAGGTGAATTCTGGAACTGCTTGGTCTTGACCATTTGATGGATCAGGAAGTTTCTTGGTTACACGGCATAGCACTGAACGGAAAAACATCAACACAGCCGTGAAGAAGGCCAGAAGAAATCCTAATATCCGAGTACTAAGACCACCTACGGGCTTTTGAGAATCTGCTGGTGGAAGCATCCCTGAATAAAATGTAAATAGCCAAATACCTCATGTCAGTATGAATTGAAAACTTATAACGGACTAATAAAATAGAACATGGCCAACAGGTAGGATAAATGCCATATTAACCACAGACATCTGCAAGTTCCAGCTTTACGACCAAAATAGAGCTAAAAGCAAAACAGACAGAATAAAATTCACACTATTAATTGCACCCAACACAGATTGTCTTGGATGCAGGTGGCCACAAGCAGCACTGATGCCTGACTACTGCATGCAACTAAAAAACCATATTAAGACGATTAGAGTATCAGAATAATACATACATATATACACATTATACTGAACCATAAACAGGAAGTAAATCCAAACTACAGGGTGAGAACTACAGTGAACTAGCTCCTTTTAGCCTCCCCCCCCCCCCCCCTGATTAGGCGCATACTGAAATCTAACTAAAAGATTAAGAGACTCTTATGCTTCCTCCCATCTTCTTTCCAATAACTTGTGTGTACAAATGCATGTGTTCTTTGCAGAAGTCTAACCTTTGGAAATGGAAGCTCTTTGAAAGGATGTTTGTTTCTTCCACACAGAATCAACCGCCTTGTCAACCATGGGAACATATTCATCATATCCGGAGAAGTTTGTAGTGTAGCCTGAGGTTCCAGCCTTAGCCTGTTTGATAAAAAAACAATAGTATATGATAAGAAAAGTGTATAAGCTCAATTTCGTTCAGGAAGGGAATGTGGAAGGAGATATTTTCATGAAAACTAAGGGAATGCAAATCCTGTATTATTCCGAGCCTCCATGAAAGGAAATTTTACATTCTCTGCAATAAAAGAAATGCTAATTCATGAAATTAGGTGAATAGGAAGAAATATACCTCTTCACGAACAGGAGTAAGCCGTAGATGGGAATAATTCCTTACAGCTTTAGGGGAAGCAATATCTTCAGCTTCAGATCCTGATTCAGCGGTGGAGGTATCACTACTTTTTACCTGTTAAAATTCAAAATACATGTAGCAATCTTCAAAGGAGGTTGACTATTTAGAGTGTTCTCATAATTTAGGAGAGACAGTAGAAGCCATACCGTGGGGAAGCGGGGTTTAGCATAAACTACCTTGCCTTCACTGTTTACAACTTTAACGACCTGCCTGGCACGCCGTGCTTCACCAATCATCTGGCATCAAAGAAGGAAGCAGTGTTTTCTCATTACTCAAAAGTTAAAATAGTTTTTCATCAAGGTAGAAATGCCTGCTCATTACTAAAGACATCAAGAACAAGAAGACCCTTGTTCCAGAAAAGAAGAGTGCAGAAAATAAATGCGAGGAAAAGAAAAAAGAAGATCCTGACTTCCTAAAAAAAAGTTAGGAAAAGAACATCTTTCGAAACAAAATTGCTCTCAGATGCAAGGGTGTAGATGAAACCTTTAGTATCTCCGGATTTTGCCATGGCCCTTTATCTGAACGAAGGCAACCTCCTTGATCTGCACATGTACAAGTTCCACCCAGAAACTCTGGCAACTCACTGCACAAAATCAAAAATCAGTAACATAACTTTTAAAGAATGAAATCTGCAATACTATCGAAAGCAGAAATAAAGCAAAATTTTCCTGGTATAGTGGAAAAGAATGCTGAACCCCTTTACCTAGCATCAACTATTTCAAGCAATTTGTTTTGGTACTTGTTTCCAAGAACCTATAAGAAATTTGATGACATAAGCAAATGAGTAAATGTAGCCAAATAACTTATAATGTTACACTTTGAGAAGTGGCAGTAGAAGAGCATAGACAAACATGTATCTTGGAGGTGGTCTTGGGATCCAGAAAACTCTTAACAGTGTTCCACAGCAGCCTAAAGCCAGGTCCAGCATTGATGATAAACATCTGATGAAGTGTCTGCACCATCCAAAATGTAGCAACATGTGTTAATGAACCGAAAACTAGAAAAGACCATATAGTACCTACTGAGATAGGGATATAATCATGCCTCAGGATAATTATCACCATCAATCTTCTGAAGTCGCACAATGAGCTCTCTTGCACTCTTGTTAAAGTTTTTCAAACCCTGAGAAATTAACACAAGAAAATGAAAATAGGTAATCCTAGTGTGCTAAAAATTCAATCTGAAATCATGACAGATTAGTGCAAGAAAACTAATGGTAGGCGACATACCACTCCCTGGACGTCCAAAATAGTGGTACTAGAATCAATCTGCCTTTTAGCAGCAACTGTACATGCTGGAAACTTGATTGCAAAAGTTATCTCGAACTCTCTTACATGGTTTCTTATGTAACGGTCCATTGTTGTGACTTGCATAAGTTTGGTAGGATCAACTTTCCCTAGCCTTTCAATGTATACCGGTCTTCCCTCCTTATCAATCCCATGATAACCTTGGGGATAGTATTTCGAAACTTCATCCTGCTCTTGGAATTGAAAATCCTGATGGAAAATTTGGTATAGGATATATTTCAGAATAAATGAAGTCACTAGAATCTTGATATATGAAGAAATACCGTCACTATCCATCAGAGAAAAGT